AGTCCCGCGGACTGTATCGCCAGAATAAATTTTATTTAAGTCGCCTCGCTCACTGCATTTGTCGGTGCTGTAATTTCAGAGTTTCGCCTTCGTTGCGAAGGAAGGTCTCGGAGGACGGAAAGGAAAATTAAATATCGTCTTTTGTCATGAATAATAATAGTACAAGAGATGCTGTGATAAAGATTTTAAAAAATCGATATCTTTTGCTCCCATAGATAACATTAGATGTTTCCACGAAATAACATCAGTAACTCGCCGAGGAAATATTGAAATATTGACAATAGATTCTATTTATGATAGATTTTTTTGTCAATACTCAAAGACCAGAAAATTTGTTCTAAAATTAACAGCAGTCGGTATCCGAATGGAATTTCCGTTCATCTCAAAGCAAACGTTTACTTTTTATCTTTTGATTTCTCCTACGCTAATTAACGCTCGCGAGAAAAGTCTTTAAAAGGTCTTTAAAGGTCTTTAAATGGCCCATGTAATAATTGAATATGACGAAGGCGCTCTTATCGAAGAAGAAAGGTGAAAACCAATTAAACCCTATATCATGCAACGAAATATGAATAATCACGCACATGTGATCGAGATACTCTCGGGTGCAATGCATAATTTCGTTGAGAATTTCCGTCATTTGCATACATTTGTGCCATACGGTTGCTCTCCGAAGAAATATCTTTCCTCTCGCCCTCATATCACAGACACTAAGTATTTCAATGCTTGCAATTGCGAGCTCCTTTTTCATCACGATCATTACTGCTACGTTTTATATACTTTTACCTTCATTATAATTTGATGAACCCTCCACGTAAAATTTATTTTATGCAATTAAAAACAGTTAAGACGAGACTTCTTGCTCTAAAAAATTAATTTATAAAAATCATAAAATCACAATTTAAATCGCACTTTTTATTTATATATAATTTGCAAACTTGATATCTCGACATTTATTCGAGATCGATGAAAAACTCGAATTTAAATTAATCATAGCGCTCGCGAACGAGACCATATTTCTAAAAAGACCATTTGATATTACATTTTTTCTCTTTACTTTACCACGCTTAGGCACAAATGGTACGAATGGATGAAAGCGTGTCGGCCGTCCTATTCACGAAAACGTGTCGCGATATCGCCTATTATTATCGCAGTATCCTCGCTCGTTTTAACTCGCTTCGATAAGGACATTTATTTTGTCGGGTGTATGACGGCACAACGGCGTTGGAACGACGGAGAGAGAGAGAGAGAGAGAGAGAGAGAGAGACTCTCTCCTTCGGACTCGCTCGTTCGAACGGAAAAATGATGGTGGAATCAGTCGTCGTGTCGTGTCGCATCGCAGCGCCGCGACGCATCGTCAACGGGAATATCGCTGAAGCGAACGCAATCAAATCGACGCGTGTCCATGGAAAACCCGCTTCTCGACTACGTGATCAGACAATGCAAGTCATTCCCGCGGGAATCGCACGAAGAACACCGTAATTCGCGCCGTTTTCCAGTTATCCTGTCACGTCCTCGTGACAATTGCAGGCCAATTTTCAGGGAATTCACGGGTCGTCGTCCTCGGAATTCCCACGTGTAATATACAACAAACTCTCGTGAACTCGATTTTCAAACGGAAAACGACCCCGCAGGCTATTTTTCGCAATCTCTGCATTAATCGCGATACAATTCGCGCTCGAAATGTTTCCTCGAAACCTTCATATTAATTAACAATTTAATATAATATAATTTAATATTAATTTTTAATTAAAAATAAATTAATATAAGAAATAAATTACAACAATTTTTTGTAAATTAAATATTAAGTTCTCTTGTAAAGTTATAAATTTTATCTCCAATCTTTTTATTATTATTATTAATCTCTATATCCATCAATTAATGCTTTAATGCTGTAAATTCTTGTTTGTTATACTTGGCGCTATCCATTTGATATATTTGGTACAGTCCTTAAGCCGTAAGAGGAAGAACAATAATTTCGTTCGATAGGAAGACAGATCGACTTGTATATGCAGGAATGAAGACACAATACAGTGTCGATACGCCATTGTAATGTTTATTGATTGAAGATAATAGATAAGGGAAGTTTAGAATTTACTCGAGCTCCTTCTCGTAATAGAACGGATACGCGGATGGCGGTTAATGGATAAGAGTACTGACCCGAGGCTAAACTTCAACGATCCAACTGCTCGAATCCCAGTCGTCGTCAGTGAGTTTGTCTTATGCGAAATTCAAGATCCGGATTCTAGATTGATGTTATTAATGCTAACAGACCGGTTCCCTGTTTCATTGAATTCTGCATGTGAATATGTGTATATCTTATATGAAATAAAACAGACGAACATACGAAGGGAGATCCGTGAAAGAAAATTATTTTCAATGTTAACAGCTTGACGACATTCGCAGAACAAATTCGCAAGAATAAATAGCGAATTTACGTTTGACAGAGAACGCGACGCGAAACGACGGGGCTATATGAAAAATGCATCTGATGCATTTTCAATGATACATCAAAGTTTCAAAAGTTGCAGGAGAAACTCTTTGGCAGATAAATGGTTAAGTGTCGTTTTTCTCTAGGTACAAAACCGATCGTTAAGAAAGATATTTTTCAGCATTACGTGCGATGCAATGTAGAAAACCTCTCGGTTCTCTTAAAGACTAGTTGTGTTACAAAGTGACTGGACTAAATACGTTCCAATATTCTTTTTCTTCCGAGAAAAACGCAATATTTCAGCAGCCTTGACTGGAGATGTTTAGTAATTTATATATCAAGGTATATGAAAAAAAAATATATATAATATATTTTTTATTTATAAAAATATAAAAAATATCTTTATTTATAATTTCATATACGATTTGATTTTATAATCAAAAATAACATTACAGAAATAATTTTGATATACAAATATTTTCAAGTTGATTTTAGAAAAACTACTAGAAATACCACAGTTATATCTGATTCTTTTTATTTTTTAAATTAATAAACATCTTTTTTTCGTATTAAAAATACAATTTTAGAATTTTTCATCTTTTTATCAATTATTTTCTTTATTTTCTTTATTGGAATATTAAAAATTTTAAAATTCCATCTTTGATATCAGAAAGAAATATTAATTGAAAAAAATAGAAATGGTCAAAAATGTACCGCTTGGATTTCCGCTGTTAACGGTTGTAAAGTGCTTTAATTTTGCCGTTATAAATTATTCAGGCCAAAGTAAATACGACTTGATGTATTCTTCGACAGTAGATATTTGCACGTTCAGTATTCTAAAAGCAGTATTCTAAACAGCTCGGCGATATTTCCATATACCAAAGCCCTTGTTATAGAGCGCCCGCTGCGTTTGACGGGCGAGACATTTCGATATATATTTCTGTTCGAGTCCTACGGGGTGGCAAAGGGTTGGCTAACGCGTTAACCGCGTCGTTCATACCGCGGCCGTCGGGTTTCGCAGCCTCGCGGGTACCGCGAACAGTCGTATCTTCGCCAGCCGCCGTTCTATTTTCCATTGGACAAAACCGACGATTCAACCGCGGAACATGGCGATACGTTGTGCCCCAGACACATACGCAGCCTGCGAAAAGAGAGAGACAATTTGTCGTTCGCGCTGCTGCTCGTAGAAGAGAATACTCGTGGAATACGACCTGTAAAGTTTCGATCTCGGAACCGTCCGCGATCCAGCTCGCCTCGTGCCGTTTTATGGCACGATGCGGATTTCCGGAGGCCGACAGTCGAAACTTGTTGCATGAAATTTTATTCTCTCGGTTAACAGCTCTCTTTTTTCCTTTTTCCTCTCTCTCTCTCTCTCTCTCTCTCTCTCTCTCTCTCTCTCTCTCTCTCTCTCTCTCTCTCTCTCTCTCTCTCTCTCTCTCTCTCTCTCTCTCTCTCTCTCTCTCTCTCTCTCTCTCTCTCTCTCTCTCTCTCTCTCTCTCCTCCTCTCCTCTTTCTTCTCTCCTCTCTTCTCCTCCTCCCCCCCCCCCTCCCCCCTCCTCTCTCTCTCTCTCTTCGACTTGTCTGACCGAGTTTGCGAAGTCTGACGCGTATTACTACTCCTACGCAACGCAACGCACGTCAATCAACGGCGCCGACGTGATTTGCTCGCGCGCGCGTGCCCCCGCATGACGAACTTAGATTAATTTCCGATATCACCGTTGATTTGCATGACAAGAGCTCGACGAGGAATGTCGCTACCGCCAGCTTGAGACGTCGCCTCGAGATCTCGGTGGCGTATCTCTCATTGTCGGCAGCGCATTTTTCGGATAATCATATCATTAATGAGATCGGAAATTGAATAGATTATTAAGGGAGATAAGATAAAAAGTGTAATGAACGTTAACGCCTTAATGATCATGATATTAACGCTGTAATGAAGATTACACTAGTCACACGTTTTTGTTATTAATTATAAAAGGGGAGCTTATTATAAGACGCGTGAAATATTAATGAGATGAGAGAAAAATTATCGCAAGGACGGAAAATTATTAAAAAGAATAATTATTCCGGGATTACTTTCAACAATCCGGGAAATTATGGAAAAGAAGTTTCAAGGTATATCTACGAATCGGCAATACGTCACCGAAATATTAATAAAAGTGATCGTGCCATACAATTCTAATTAGCCAGCTTTAATGAAAAAAACTCCGAGCGCTCATAATCCTTTGGTAAAGGTTATATTGGTGCGATTTCAATTGAATCAATTCATAACTGCGACGCGCTTTTTTTAGCGTTTGACGTCGTGTTTAACTTCAAATAAAGCCGCCCATGAAGAATATACGTAGTTAGTGGATTCAGCCACGTATATGGTCAGACGCAACAACACCTACGCCGGCGAAGGCCTTAATCGTCTCTAATCTACATTTGCTGGGTGTAAATATCAACCGCGATCGATTTAATTGCACGTTCGGCATTCTCATTAAAAGCGTGACACTCGAGTAATTACGGGAAAAAAGAAAAGAGAAAAGGAGAAACGAACGCGCATCACGCGGGAAAGGTTTGCCGTTCCTACCTGCAGATTCTTGAAATGATGAGAACCGCATAGCGAACTCAGGAATTTGCTCAGAGCACATTTCCGCGTATGCTGCGTGATTCCCACGTTCACTGCAGCTTCCGTCACAGACTCTCGTCCGGTTGTCGGCGCCACGCCGACTTCCGATCCTCTAGTCACCTGTAAACAAAGCCAACTGTAGCAGGCCGACATGCATGCCTCGAGACATACGAAATGTTGCAAAAATATCGAGAAATTCAGCATTCATTTCAGTAAATAAAAAAAACACATTTGCAATTCACGTAAACTTTTTTAGAAATTAATAGACTAGTTTAATACTTAGGTGAGATATCCTATAATTAGAGAGGTAAAATTAAATTATATTACGAGTTTAATTTCGAAAACGTTTACTTAAGTTGCAAATAATTTCAAAACTATAAATAACTTGTGTGAAACTAAATAATTTCTCTACGAAGTTAAACTCAAGTGTAATTAAAAACAAAAAAAAATCTTTCGTTCAGTTTGCAAATAATTGTTAAGCTGTAAATCGTTTGAAATTGTTTTTCAGAAATTAAACTCCGAGGGCGGAAAGATAGATAATTCAAATGTTATTTGTCGTGTGAAACAGCAGATTTTTAATAGCAAATATAACGAAAACATATATGTCTGAGGTTTTTATGAAAAATGACGGTGCGAATTTTATCGCGCGCGATACACCGTTCACGTTTCGGGGGCTAATTTCGGGGTTGTTTCTCCGTGTCACGATTCGCCGCGCAAACAGCGCGGCGCACGGTGCATAAATGTGATTTAACGAAAGGCACACTGTAGCCGACGGACGTGTTTGCTGGTGTTTGCCCGTAATACGATAATCGTTGCCCAGCCCCGGCGCGATTGTTTGTACATACATGTCGGCCGCGTGCAGTTTCCGCAACGATAATTCCGCCATTCCGAGAGGGATCGTGAAACGCGCGAAATTGAAACGTACGAGACGCGCGCTGGTTCCGCATCGAAATTATTATCGATTTATTTATCCGCCCTGTGTTTTTTCTACGTATCGTCGTCTAATTTTTTTTTTTTCTTCTATCACACTTCGCGATATGTTTTGTACGTGGAGGATCGATTTTCGACGGTTCATCGCGCGAAATGGCAATATCAATTTTGGTGAGGGCACACAATTCGCGAATTATGACGCGGTAAATAACAAAAATTCCGCGTCCGCGAGCTCGATATTGACGCGGCGGCGACGCGCGAGTATTGAGTAAACTCCAACGAAGGTTTCCATTCGAGAGAAAGACGGATTTTACCGGGCAAAGTTCCAATATCGGAATGCATTGTGTATCGTGTAATGCGCGGCGTCACGCCTCTATCTTGAAAATCGAGGAGACACATCAAAGGGAATGGGATCTGACAAAGTGGTTTCATCTTTCCGCACAGTTTCCCGTTTCTCTCGTTTTGCCCGGCGATTCGTACTTCGCCGTTGCTGAAGACTCGGTCGCGGTAATGGAGAAACGTGATGCGCGTGCAACGAAAATACCGGACGGACGAACGTATCGCTCATACGGTCGGTCACGTGCGGCCGTTAATAAAGTGTACTCTTTCTCTCGTAGATACACGAAATTTTATCCGCCCGCCCGATAACGAGCTAACATCCCCCAACATCGAGAGTTATGCCGTTCACGCCATAACGATAACTCGAGGGATGATAAGTCGAAGGACTTGTTGAAGTTTACCAGGGTTGTAACGTATGGTTACACTTCTCTAATCTTACTGTTTAGTTTTTTTTTCCTGCTAAGAAAATCTGCGGAAATTGCAAATGCCATGTTCTTCAAATTTAAAGTTTAAAATTGAAATTAATAATCATTTTATGTGTCCGGTGTGGAGTCGATTTTATCTAAACTAAAAATTTGCCACATTTTTCATACTTAAGAATATACTTTGCGTAACAGTTATAACGTAAACAATAAATTTATTCAATATTTATTAAATATTTAATTATTAAAGTAAGATTTAATAAACGTTGAGGGGATACATGTAAATATGTTTATTTTCATTGTCAGATATTAATGAAACATAATCATCTATTAGCTATCGCTATTCACTAATTATAAATATATTCGTTTGACGATCGTTTAATCAATTAATTAGCACAACAAGACATTTGCCGTTCGATGACAATATAATTGAACAGCGCCGAGGTGCACAAAGTTATAAAGTATAATTAGCTTCATTTACTCATTTATTCCTTTTACAAAAATCAAGCTCTTTAAAAGATATATGCATTTCTCTTGTTCTTCGATACAATTTTCTTTTAATCTGTATTAATCACTTAGCAATTTTATCATAATTAAATATAAAAAAAAATGGCTTTACTGAAGTATCTAAAAATTGAGCCAAATAGAAATCTGAAAATAATTTTATTTTAGCGAAACCCCTTTTTCGTGTAATTCTCAATTTTTATTTTTTCCTTTGATGTTTCTGGCATTTAAAAAGTAGTCTGTAGTCTTTTCTTTGAGATATTCTACATAATTTTTGTATTGTTTTGTATTGTTTTATGTGAGTTGTGAGGAATGAGATTTATTCTATTCGGCGATTATATCGGTGACATTTATCTCCTAATAACACGCTCGATAAAACAGGAAAACTCACCGTGATGATCGAGGGACGGGGCGCGCCGGTGAAGTGCTCGATGACTTCCCAATTGGACTTCTTGATGGGTGGGGTGTGCGGCGTTTTCGGTGTGTTAGGGGTGTGCGGTTGCGAGGATGGCGTTGTGGATTTGGAACCCGGCGTATTGAACAGCAACTCGACGCGGGGTTTACCGCCATCATTGCTACTACTCACGTGTTGTCTGAGGCTCGCCCATCTCCTGGTGGTCCTGGGGGCTCCGCTTATCGTTCTATGCCCGATTTCACCCTGGCAAAATGAAAAAAAACACAGCGTGATCACTCAATTGACAAATGCACCGTCGGCTTGGCTAATTACGGGATTTCTAAGAACTATATTCCTATCATATTTCCTTTCTTTTATATAAAAATTAACAGGGAATCTTAGAACAAATTTGTTAATTATAACTATAGTCTTATATGACTTTTAACATTTTGATATTTCGTATGGCACGATAACGTATTGAAAATGTGTACCACAAGACATTAATTTTTTTAATTGCTGCTGCTAAAATATAAACAATTTTAAAACAAATTTAAATGAAATATAAGATATAATAATAAAGTCTATAATAATAAAGTCTAAAGTGTTAATTATAATTAATTATAATATCATGACTTTAATTTATATACAAGTAACACTCGCATAAAAATCTACATAAACAAAATTTATTAAGATTTCCGCTCGACATTATACGAAATCATTTTAACTATTTTTAATGTGTAAGTTTTACGAGCATTAAACTTAATAAAAAAAAAATGATAATAGAAAAATAATTCTTCTGACATCTAATGAATCTAAATATTATTCTTTTATTTTATCGCGTAAGATATTTCAAAGATATTTTTAACGTTGGGTCAGAAAGAGTGTTGTGTCACAGAGACGCCATTATTTACATCGCCCCAGGCGTCGAAAGTATCTATTTGGTTCTGCTCAAAGCAAAGATGAAACGGCCCGAGCAGCGTCAAAAGAAAGTCGACACCCGTTACGTTAAATTTTCGCAACTTTGCGCGGAAATTGCAGTACGGAGAGAAACGTGAAGCAACGTTTTTGCGCTGGAATGCATAACGTTGTGCACGAATTACGTTCAAAATCCTCTCAAAATCTACTTCCTCCGATCTCTCGAGCGCGTCGCCTCCCCTTCGCGTGTGCATCCCAGAGAGAGATTACAAAAAATATCTTTAAAATATACTCGAGATGCAATAAGTATCAAAGTGCATCGCGCATCAAGTACCAAAAGTCGTAAGCAACGAGATGCGACCTCTCTCGAAATATTTTTTTTTTTTTTTTTTTTTTTTTGGAAAAAAAGAGAGCGATGTCAAGTTCTCCGAGGAACAGGGTTCTTGAAACGAAGATACGAGTTACGGGATAGCACAATACATTCTGAACCGAGAAACCAACCTTGGTGATACGCGGCAATGTAAACCGCGTCAGCTGTCGGGGATTTCAACCCCCTCGTCCTCGTCCAACGTATGCGCGGTGTCGTCGTCGTCGTCGTCGTCGTCGAGTCTCGAGTCGTCGTCGTCGAGTCTCGAGTCGTCGACGTGGAAAACGGCAAGCGAGCAAGCGGCAGCTTGCTTTTGCCTTTTCAGAATCAATGAAAGATAGCAATCCCGAAACAGACGCGCGGGAATGGCAACTGAAATCGTCGCCTCGGTAAACAAGCGGCGTCGTTCTCGCTTCGCGTATTCCTCCGTGTCTTTCCAGCGGCGGCGCGGTGCACTTCATCCTTCCATTTGCGGCCTCTCGATGCAGTGTTTTGCGCAGCGAGGCATATATCTGGATGCATGCGACCGGGAGGGATGCGAGGGCATGCGAGAGATTACTCGCGTGTCGTATGCAGCCGCCGTCGTTTGCAGATTTGCGTAAATACGCACGAGTCGTCTTATTACGGTACACAAACGGCCCACAGAGGGAGAGAGAGAGAGAGAGAGAGAGAGAAAGAGAGAGAGAGAGAGAGAGAGAGAGAGAGAGAGAGAGAGAGAGAGTAGTAGTAGTA